GGCTGCGGAGCTGGAGCTGAAGCCGGGCGCGGGCGGCCGCGGTCCCGGCGGCGGCGACGGCAGCGGGAGAAGATGGTGGCGCTGGAGGTAGGGCCGGCTGGAGCGGAGCTTGATTCCCAGGCTCGGCATCGAGGTTGTCATTAGCGCCGCCTGCTCCCGCGGGCCCGGGGACGCAGCTGTCAGGCAAGGTACCACCGCCGGGCGGGGTGGGGCGGGGTGGGGCGGCTGGAGGGGTGCCCGGCGCGGATGCTGCCCGGTCCTCGCCGAAGGGCGCCCCTGGACGGGAGGGGGCTGACGTGGAACAATAGTGAGGGTGAGCGGGGGACAGCAGGCGACATCCAGAAGGCAGCGCCTTAGCCATCGAGCCAGCGGGGCTGGGGAAGGGGGCGCCGGGAGGAGAGCTGCCTGGTACCCGGGAGATGCACGCTGAGATCCCAGAGCTTGAGGGGCAGCGGGCGGGCCTGGCGACAGTCGTGGCAGGAGTGTGTGTATGTGTTAAAGGTACGGCATAGGGGATGGGGGTGGCGGAGCGGAGGTGTTGGGGGATGACATTTCCAGGAATCCTCGCTAGGATCCTTCATCTCGCTAGGATCCATCCTGACTCGCTCGGGAGAAAGTGTGATGATGGAACGCTGAGGTGGGCTGGATGCTCTTGGTGTGTGAAGTGTGGAGAGGGGAAGGGACGGGCTTGTAACATCCCGTGTGTGTGACTGTGTGCATGTGTGCCTGTACGAGTGCGCCTGTCTCCATGCTCCCTAAACTGCGCCCAAGCCCAAAATGTACCAGTGCCCCAACTTGCCATCATCTCTCAAGACGGTGGGACGGTGGCGTTTTGGCCCTGAGCACTCTGTGCAGAGTCCCCGTGCTGCTTCTGCGCGTGGCCGACTCTGGAGTAGGCATTCTCGCTTCCTTTTTCTCAGGCCTGTCAGCATAGGTTGTGGAAGTGAGTATGTCTCTCTTGGACACATGGCAGAAGAAGAGGATAACGGTTACACCCTCCGGACTTGGAGTGTCTTGGCTTTTGAAAACAGCTTCTGCCCTGTGACACTTCTCTCCAGCTTTGGTCCTTAGGGTCGTGGACTCCTGACTCTGCAGTTTCTTTTGTTTATGTCTTACCAGATCTGAAGAAGGGTCTTTAATGGCTCATTACTCTACCTGTTCCCACAACTTTGAACAGCTAGATCTTCTTCTTCCACACTTAGACAGGAGGGTCCTTGGGGTTCAATGGTGGGTGGTCTTTGTGTTGCTTCTTTTAGATAAAACTCTGGAATGGTGTGTGGAAAGGTGGATTTGGGGGCAGGGAGCAAAGGAGAGTTATTACATATAATAAGAAAAAGATCATACTGAGAAATATGTTGTACGCTCTGGTCGGCGTCACTATTCCTTAGGACATGGAATACTTTATTACTGCTGCTGCCTCTACTCTCTGAGCTTCCACAATGGCTAGGTGGAGCTGTGTGTGATTGGGAGCTGGAATCCCCAAAGAGCTATACGGGGTAATGGGGTCCAGATAGGTGAAGTCCTTGCTTACCTACCTGGTGTAGCCCACTAGGGGGGGACTTGGGAAATGCCAGGCTGACAGGAACTCAGTGGGAGCCAGAAGAGAGACATGCACCAGTGTCTAGAGAAGCTGAATTGTCTCTGCGTGGTAAGAATGGGCTGGTGTGGGGATGGAAAGAGAGAGGAAGGCATATGGCATATGCCTGTGTGTCCATTGCGTTTGGACTCTTCCTTGGCTCTCCTTATTAACAAGAATGCACATACCTTTGCACTTAACATCTTGATAGGTCTTGATTCCAATGCTGTGTGACTAGAGGAACCTGCTTGGAGTAGACTCTCAAGCATAATACCTTCAGTTCTACTGCAGTGCTGTCAGAAACCAAACTGGCTGCCCCGGTCCTTTCTGAAAAACCTTCAGCAGTCATGGCTGCATGAGTAAATAAATACATAGCAATTTGGCATCCAATGTTGTTCCTTCTATAGAAATGTGTAAATTTTTTTTCAAAGTAAACATGCTATTGTTATTATGCTGAACATCATATACTAACGCTAGGGCTCTCCAGCTATGCTCCTGCCCCTTTCCATTTGTCTTAATTAATGATGATCTATAGACCAGGTGCTCTTGAGGCCGTCAACACAACGTAAATTTCCCCACGTCTTTCAAGTCAAGCTTTTTAAAATTTTAATGTGAGGTGATTGGATCGCATCCAAGATTTAGGGATAGATTTATACCAAGGAATTTTGAACCTTGGTTCTTTACGCCTCCTCTGCCAAATTGCTTTCTGAGAAGAGTACTTGTGGGATTTTAAAAAAGTTCTAAGAGACATTATTTTTAAAAATTCCCTTTTTAAAAATCATAAAATCAAAAACCATAAATAGCTTATAGAAAATGTAAGAATTTTAGGAATTACCAAAAACCATGTTTTGAGAAAGGAGGACTATACAGCAGCAAAATTGATGACCTGGAAATGAGTGACTTCCTCATTCAAATGTGATACTTTTAAAATGTAACGCTTGGTTTTTACAAAGACAGGAGGTGAGTTTAATGACACAGCTTGGGTCCTGTAACTCAGCCTGGTAAATATCTGTCCCTCTGCCATAACCTGCAGCTGTAGCTTGTGGCAACCATTTGCTTTGTGTGAATATCTTTCCCTCACTTAACGTAACATTAATGCTTTTCGTTTTCATTATCGAGTTTCTTTTGGGCGTCAAAGATACTAGCAAATTGATCTATGTGGTCTAAAGACATAAACTATGGTGCTATGGGAGGAGAAAACGTATACTGGGGCGGGAGGATGTACTTGTTGCTCAAACTGGAAGAATGTCAGTCTCTAAAATCCAAAGTTAACCTGAGTTATCTATAGATATTTGTTAGTTGCCTGTCTCAGGCACTTTAAACTGTTTGGATAAGAGGTGGGAAGTGTCTAGAGGCTTGGAAAGACTAAAGTCCTGCAAACAGGAGACTCTTGGCCTAGGAGAGAAGGGGCAGGTGTTTAGGTAACTGTGAACATGGTGGAAGATGGAAGGTGGTGGAAAGCTGTATTCTTGCAAGGTGGTGTGATCCAACTTCACATGATACAACCAGAGAAGTTTTCATGGATGAGAGAGGAACTTGAGCCGAGATTTGTGCATGTAACGTTTGGACTGGGAGGATAGGAAGGGCTTGCTTGGAGGTGACACACCATAGCAAAGGACCAGAGGAGGGAGAGAGTGTGTGTGTGTGCACAAGGAAGGAAAAAGTGTGTGTGTGCACGGGGAACAAAAAACTTCAGCTGGAGCACAGGCAACGCCTGTAGGAGATGCAAGGAGAGAGAAGGTGAGGAGAGGTTCTGCCAAGCCTGAGGAACAACTTGTCTGCCAGGCCGGGGTATGTATTCTAGTCAATATGTGGAGAGGATCGGGAGGTTCCAGAAGGTTCTCAAGGAGCAACAGGGAAGCTGATGTAAGAACCAGAAATGTGCTTCAGGGAGGTTCTGCTGTGCGTTGAACGGACATATTGAAGTGAGAGGAGACAGGTGGTAGGAAGTCCTGGTAAAGCCCATTGCTAAATTAGAAGTCAGAAGAAATTAGGCCATGGGAGTGAAGATGGGGGACAGGTCAGTCCCAAGACAGGGAGCGCAGGCATAATCTAAGAAACCTGAACGTTGAGAATAAGAGAAAGGGAGCGGGGAAGCCAGAAGTCAAGTTCAGCTGCAAGAATGGTTGAATCCTTATCAGAAAGAAGGTACACAGAGGATGATGAGCAGATGAAACATTTCAGTCATGACATGACAACTTCATCAGACCGAAACCATGGGAATATAGGCAGAGGGCTTTGGAGGGAGGTCCCAACTACAAAGAGAGATTTGTATAACCTCTCCTTAGGAGCAATTTTGGGATCCCAGGAATGACCAGTAAAGACAATGGAGAGAGAAGCAAGGAGCACGATTAGGGTACTTGAGGAATGGTGATCTGTAGGAGGTGAAAGAAGAGAGTGGTTAAGGAGGAGTGGCAGCCCAAGGTTGATCCTGGGAGCAGAGGGATGTGTGGAGCTCTGGAAGTGAGGAGCTGTGAGCCGGGCTACCTTTGTTCCACAGCACCACCCCATGGGGACGGCTCCCCAGGGAAGAGAGCCATTGGATTTGACTCCCAGATTCTTTGATTAACCTTCAGATGGGTGCAGGGGGCAGCTGGCTGTGAGAGACTAAAGTGGCCCTGGTGAACGTGGAAAGCAGTGGGGACTGTTGAGTAACTAGGATGTAAAGGAGAAGGATGCTGTTGTTGCCGTTGAGTCAGAACTGACTTGTGGTTGGCCTTCCAGTGGGTTTTTAGAGGCTGTAAACACACACCACCAGAGTCCCCATCTTCCTCTTTCGGAGCACCTGGTAGCTTCAGACTGGCTGCCTTTGGGTTGGCAGTGCAACCCGTTACCCACTAGACCACCAGAGCTCCACATGATAAACATCCCCAAGGAGTGAGAACGTAGAGGACAAAGAACAGACTGCCTAGGAAGTCTTGTGTGTTACCTTGTAAGCTGAGGAGAAGGATCCATTGAGGAGAAGAAAGACCGAAAATATAAAACCCCACTACTGGCTCCTCGAAGCCCAGCAGGACAGGGTGGAATTACCTCCCAGAGTGTCCAAGGCTGTAAACTCTTCTTTTAAAAAATTCTCTTTTTCTCTTATTGTGTACCATTTGAGTCAGATCCAGCTGGCACAGGAGGAGACTGTCCCTCCTTTTCCAGCAGAGCATCTGGTGGATTTGAACTATGTGCCTTTGGGATTGCAGTGCAGCTTTTTGCCACTAGGCTACCAGAGTTCCCTTTAGAGGCTGTAAACTTTTAAAAAATTTATTATTACTATTATTATTAATTTTAATGAAAATGTACATATATTTTGGATTTCCATTCATTCATTGTTGCACTTTTCTCCCTGGCCACCCCTCCCCTCCAGCTCACTCTTCTCTTTGAAAAGTAAAAGAATAATTTTTTCATTGTTATACAATCCCTTCCCCCAAGTCCACTCCACTATGCAGCCTTCGTTCTGGACTCATGTCATGACTATAATATCTAATCAGCAGAGGCTGTAAACTTTTAAGGAAGCTGACTGCCTGTCTTCTGCCATTGAACCACCCTTTCACCTAGTAACCGCCAGGGCACAGGGAGGAACTGGTGGAATGAAGTCCTCAGGCAAATGAGAAGATCCTCTAT